CCATCCTCAGCATACAGGTCATACTATGTACACTATATGTATTCAAAGGAGCAGCTTCAACCAAATACCTTTGCTCTTTATCAGTTTCTGAATGGAAGAGCTTGCATCAGCAGAGCTCCTACCATCTTCATTAAGCAACCAATTTAACATCTCAGAAAGGCCAGAACCAGCCTGTCTGAAATGCAGAGGTTTGAAACCCAAGTGCACCAGACAAATGATGGTGCATCCATTTTTAGTAATTTTATATTTAATATATATATAATTTTAATAATTTAATATGACATAACAGACAGTTCCATTCAAAAATAGTAGGTGGGGGCTGGAATCACCATTATCTCTAAGGAAACCAGTAAAACGTCAACGGAGCAACCTTACTCTAACTAGGAGCCTTGGCAACTGTGGAAGGTAATGGAACAGATGTGGTTTTTAACAGCCACAGTCTTACTGTTCCTACATGTTTAAGGAGGGGTGATTTGCATGCACACAAACTGCTGGAGTCAGTCTGGGGCAGAAACATAGGTGCTGATGGTTTGTGAGGAACACAACAGGATCATACTGACAAATCCATTTAACAGGCACAATTAGTCTGGACGGCATTTTCCTTTTTGAAGTTGGCTGGCTGCAGATTCATATAACTGAGAATGTAGCAGAAGCTGACTAGAGGCCAGGATGAAAAGTAAAACAGAAACAGTCTTTGTCATATTAGTCAGTCAAATGAAATCACACTGGAGTGTGTGTATGTGTCTTTGAGAAACACAGAGGGCAAGCTGTATGTTAGATGTATGAGTGTGACTGAGGGAGTGAGTGCAATTCTTACACAGTACATTAGGCCTGTTACCCAATGTTTGCCATCCTGCCTGCCCTTTTCCTCCCGCTCATCCTTTTCTTACCTACAAAGATTGGGGAGGAAAAAGAAGGAACAAAACTGTTTCCCTGCAGAGTGCCACATCAGGACACACAGCAAATTGCCATCTTTTACCAATCACGTTCCACCTTGCTGAGGGGACAACAAGACCAAGGGCTTTTCAAAAGTGTGGCTTTACTTGATCTTTACTTTACACACAGCGCACTGATCATACCTCATCCAAACTATTACACACAAGCAGTTATTATTTACAATCAGTCCATTACATAACAGAACAGTAAATGTTTGATCACTTATAGTCATCTTTACAATTTCAAAAATAAATGTATATTCATTATTGAGTAGTGAAAAGTGTTGATGATATGCAGAATGCCATTCTGAGCATTTACTGTGAGGAGAGATCAGCAACACTCTATTTGCATCACATTCTTGCGTCACCATCCTCAATGAATATTAACGCTGACCACTTAGTACAGAGACCAGCCAGGACCAAACAAGATTTAGGTTATTATACCTGAACAGCAGCCATGAACACTATCAAAAAATTTTCATATCCTGAATGATGATGAAAGATGAAAGGACTTTGTCGACTAATTAATTAGATGTATACACACACACACACACACACACACACAATTATTCCATGCAACAGTTGACAGTGGAGTGCCTCTTGAAAAGATATGCAAACGGATGTGCAAATTTGCCACCTGTTAAAATGGTCAGTATGTGAACTATCATCTCAAGAAACACTGCGGCAAAAACTGGTATAATTAATAACATGAAGCTGTGGTGCAGAGCAATCACTTCCATAACCGCGGTCCACAGGAAAATAAATCTTTCAATAACTTAGCCATCTTCGTGTCCTAACTAAGAAGCTATGTGCACATACATTAACATTTCTTTACCAGCCTCTGTAGAGGTTCTATATAATATTTCCATAAAATCTGAGCATGCTTGTAAGGATATCTTGAAATTGAGCTGGAAACTCAAGAAACATCAGTGAGTGGAGGAGATAAATAACAACTTGGCTCTAAATTGCTTATATCAAAGCATGGGCACAGATGTGGTGTTCAAATGGATCATTTTGTAATCTAAATAGTTTGGAAATGTTTATTTGATTAAAACAAAATTTTAGCTAACCCATTGTATTCTTTGATATATCAATTTCTTTAAATGTTGATGCAATGACATTTTTGCACTGCTTGGCAGTATCTAAAATCACAGCTGTTCCACTACACTGGTCTAGACTACTACTACATTTCTGCAATACAACAAAGAAAATCTTCTGTAGCATTATCTGAACATAGTCAAAATATCAAAAGCAATGATCATTCACTGAAAGTGTACCAAGTCCCGAAATCTGTATGCAGTAAATATTACAGCTAAAATCTAAAACTAGTGGTTGATGATGTCAATCTGAGCTAATGGAAAACTAATTCCTCTTGTTGAAGGGGCATTACCAGCAACAACATTTATGGAGAGCATGAAAAATCTAAATTTACTAAGACAACAGCAAAGGTGTAGCCAAACTGGCTCTGGTGTAGCGCCTGTGTGAATATAAAAATGCCTGTTTTGACTTCCACTTCACTAGCCAACCTTTGTCTGGAGGAGATGAACTTTCATTCTTACAACATCTAGGTGCAGCACACTAGCTATCTGCCACTGAAGGTTTGCGTTATGCAACTCCATCTGCAAGCACATATACCAACAGCCCCATTCCACAAGAATTAGTAAAACACACAGCTGAAATGATAGTGTGTACTGAGAAAATAAACTTTATACAAAATGCCTGTTGAATGTTTAGGTTTAACAAAACAGAGTGAATGAACCCTATGAAAGGACCATACCTTTCTGGGCTTCTACATCGACCAATATAAATAACCAGATCCTCTTCAGTAGGACTGCACTGCAGGATATCATTCATCTTCATCTAACAACAGAGAGCTATTTTTGACTAGTCAGCATTTCCCATTGGACTATTATAAAACTTGGGCCATAAAACAGGTCTCCAATGCGCATTTCATCTGATGACTGATCATATCCATATTCATGACATCCACTGGCATGTGAAAGCACATTCCTGTTCTTATGATATTCATAAGCAACTGTGGATGTAGAAATCCCTGCACTAGTTGATAAAAATTGAGCTGACTGGTCTGTCTGTGACCACCATCAATAGGCAGCAAACAAAGCCTCTCTTTCATTCTGTCAGTCCATGTTCCACTGTCATTTTTGTCCTCTGTCTGTGTCTTGCTCTTAAGTTAGAGAACCAGACACAGTCACATACATCTGGACATGCATAAACAGGATTGTATGCAAGGACCAAAGCTTCACAACCACCATATAGCCACTTCATCAATCTCTCGCTATAGCATTGTTATTGCCTTTGTACTGCTTCTACAAACAGACTGGTCACACTGGTCCAGTACTTTTCAAATTACTTTGAATTTGACTGTATCATGACAGTCAAATCTTTCATGAAACATCTTCTGCAGTGTTGAAAGCCATTCCATTAAACTCACTGACCCAAATTTATTATGGCTTCATGAAATTAAATGGAAGGTTCTCTGGGCTATGTGGTGCAAAGCAGTCAACTGTCTGCCTATCTGTGTGAACGTCAACAAGGACATGGAGTGAAGCTGCACACTCAGCTTCCCTGACACACCTTTATTTGTACTAATAGAATTAAAGGCTCTTCCTCAGGTTAAAAAAATTATACTGCAGAAGCTGTCTGTAAGTATAGGCTTCAGATACACCTATCTGCTGTGTGTGTTCAACCAACCATCCATCATAAGGGATGCTCATACTGATTCACAACAGTTATATCATCAGAGAAAGCTTTCTAGTGCCCACCTCCTGAGTAGTAGTATCCTGGGTTTATACTACCACCCCAGCCAAGAAGACATAGCCAACACATTTTGAATCACAACAGACTGCTTAAAGGCAAATAAAGCCTTCGAACAGCAAGTCACCTGATCTAACAGGGTAGCATAAAATAAAATGCCACATTACATGCATTATAATATTTGAGTGATCCTCTCTTGTAATTCCCTAAACGTACCCTGATTACCCTCAGGTTCAAATCTTCTACTTGCCAAAAACAGAAGCTCATCTTTAAAAGCCTAGGTGCAATGTTAATAGTCATGATCCGAGTTCCAGATTCTCACAAGACTGACTTCTAGTAAACTCTAACACAACGCATCTACTAATCAGAAATGTTAGTGTTTTGTATGAATATCATTTGTTTATATCAGTGTCTGTTACTGGATGTTTCAATGTGTCAGTGTACCACTAACTGGTGCACACTACATACAAAAGCATCTACGTACACTCGAAAAATGTTATGGCAGTTTTGAAAACCACAAATGTTGCTATCTCAGTGTTTTCTTTGTCCAAGAGACTTCATGGAAATGTCACCTGGGACATATAAATACCACAAAAAGTGACAAAACGACTATGTTTTGTCGTTCATCATTCTCTGTCAAGCTTGCTAGAGTTACATTTAGGGGATAACGTTAACTAAGACAATCTTTGGCTCTGCTAAGAGATGGCTTTAACTAGTTGTCGGTGCTACTTCTACGCCGAATTTCGCAGTGAGCTATAAATACCTGGGCAACCGACACCTATCAACTTTGAAAGTTCGCTTCTTAATTTGAAGTTATCCAACAGGACGCTGCAAACCTTTAACGCCATCTATGTGACTTGGCATCTGCCTGAAAGAAATCTAAATCTAGCCAAACAGCTAATTAGCTAGTGAGCTAAGCTAGCTACTTCAGTCGAAACGTTCACTCTTCTTTTTCATCTTCGTGAATAACATTACCCTTCTCCCCGTTTTCTGCTCTTTGCCATAGTAACCTCAGGCCTTACTGCCGTTCCTTAGAAATAAAATTAGCTAAAATATGTGTAACCACATTTATCTTGTGGTAAATGTGCTTGTGTCCTGCAGTTAGAGGTGATGCCCTGAGACGAAAGGACCCCCACCAACATCAAGCAATGGTGTCACCAAAGGCTGGCCGTTGTCTCCGGAGCCTGAAGGCCCCAACGTCATCCTAAGTAGATGGTCGAAAAGGCTTGAATGAAATCACTGACAACTTGTAATTGCTCACTGCTAACGTCCGGACATCATTCGTCTTACCTTTGCTTTGGTAATGATGTGTGTGGCTAGCTTAACAACCGCGAAATTTCCCTTGCCGATGGTCCGCTCGATTTCATAGTAGCCCACTCGGGCTGGGGGGGGCCTGGTGACCGAATTGTGGACAGGATTGGTGATGCACCCAGCGGCCGTGCTGGTACGAGTGGAGTGGCTGATCCCGGAGGATGGCTGGGCTCGGTTTTGTGAGCCCATTACTCCGTGGGTCGGTCGGGCAGAGTGCGTAATCCCGGCCGCAGCGGACCCAGCAGCACCTCCGCTTGACACGGCCGCCATCTTCTCGCCTCTGCGGGAACAACAAGCAGCCTTGCGCAGCGCGCATCACGGGCACGCCCCCGCCCTGCGTCATTTTACGTGGAACGCTCCTCCGCAGCGCCCTCTCTAGGTTGTAACCATGGTAACGATCGGTGTAACAAATGACTTCATCCACAGTAACGTATTGTGGTTGCCTTGGCGACAAAGAAGTGCGCATTATCACCATCACTCTGGTTCCCATGATTCAGTGATTCCTTGCAAAGTGCTGCATTGTGTATGATCAGACGAGCTCATGAGGCTTAAAGGTATAGGTAGGGTATGCCCGCTCTAACCATGACAGATTGAAAACATCGAATTGAGGAAAACAGACATGTTCAAATTATCAAGTCGAGATTTAACTCCATAGTGCTCGAATATACATGACTGTCATTATGAATATTTACGCATAAGAATGTTTTCAGTTTCTGGCAGTTGATTCTGCAATGCCACGAAGGTCCGTGTATCATCCGATCATTCAGTTATTTGATTTAACCTTCAAACGAGAAAACGGATAGGCGGTGTAGAATTTCGTTTTTGTTTTTTATAGGCGTGAAATAAGGAAACTCACTGCATATTTCTTCTGTTTTCCTAACAAAGCGTGTTATCCATTACACAAGAAAACAAAAACAAAAAAGAAGACTTATTCTGTTTTTCTGTTTGTGGATTTATGACTTTTATTTACAGTACGCATGCTCAGACAGTGAGCGCTGCGCCCGCTCCAACAAAGTGAGAAGTGTAAAACTACCAGACGTTTAAACGAATTCTCATGGGAATTGGCGTTTATGGTAGACTATTAACTTCACTGTCAGTCCACCAGTGATGACAGTCGACCTTTATTATGTTTTAATATTTGCACAGATTATCTTATTGTTAATGATAAGTAGGCTAACCGGAGCTTAACTGTTAGCCTACATTTCAAAATTTATAGGCTACATTATTGGGCCCATCACTTTTTGACGGTGGTGGAAGTTTTACCTTGCACTGCGTAATGTGAAATTTATCTTTACTCATATTATTTCGGGAATAATATTGTGAGGTATTAAATAACTTTACATCACACAGAGGATACATAGATCTACAGTACGAGTTAAGTCCCACCCCCTTCAAAAAGGCGATAGGCTGTGTGATGTAGCTTATTTTGTACCAGTTACTTACTATTAATAATAAACTAATCGATGTAAATATGAATAATACAGGCCGTCGGTTAATTGCTGCGCATGCGCAAGGCAAAGAAAAGAAATCCACAGTTGAAAAAACAGAATAAAACTTGTTTGGGGTTTTGGTTTTCTCGTCTGTTTGATTTCACGTTTTATTATGAAAACAAAAGAAACGTGCAACGATTAACATTTTTCACATTGTCAAAAAATGAAATTCTGAACCCTTTACCAATGTTCTCGTTTGAAGGTTAAATTGAATGATGGGATGATAAACGGACCCACGGAGAGGTCCAGACAAATTGTGGCTATTAATGCTGTTTGTGCCTACTGCAGAAAGGTGAATGTCACTAGAGTGCTAAGAAATGGCCCTGACCTTTTGAGAATGGGCTGCTAAAGCTCTTTGGGAAAATCTAATGAACACGGTAGCGACATTAGCTGTATTTCCACGGTAATTAAATTCTCAGATTTCACATTCTTCACAAAGAGAGGGTTGCAGTCATTAAGCATGTACATACTTTTATCACTGTGAGGACACCTTTTGACATAATGCATTCTTTAGCCCCTTGCCCTAACACTTAACCTAATTCTGAGTCCTAAAGCCAAGTCTTAACCCTCAAAAAGGTGTTTCTGAAAATGAGTTATAGCCAAAATGTCCTCATTCTGTAGCAAAACTACTATAATTAATTAATTAATGCAATGTTTATTTATTATCGTACTCTTTAGCAAGTGTGTCCTGTTGGAAAATAAAAACAAATAATAATCCATGCTAATAGGTATGAATATGACAAAAACACCTGGTATTAGAATAGAAATCAGCGCCACAAAGGCTCCAACAATAAATAGTGAAACACATGGGTTAAAAACATAAAATGTCAAATACCTGGATAAAATTCAAACTCAAATTTAATCCACAAATAATATAATATAAGCAGTAAATAATAAAGGTTAATAGGCTATTCTGTTCTACAGAATGGTGTAGAACAGGTTGCTTTCTAATAGGGAAAATTCTATTCTATTTTATTCCATTCCATTCTATTCTTGCTGACTCGCCAGGCTAGAGACAGCACCACCCCATGGTAGAGAGGACCTCCTGCAAGAAAGATCCAGGTTCAAATGCCTAAGTACATCTAACAAACTGACATTGACCTAGCCCTGGGGAGCAATGCATCATTGGTTTACTGTTTGTAGCGAAGGCTTCTAAGCAAAATAAAGCTGCCATTTGTAGTCAGCTGTGTGTTCTCTACTAAAAGGGATGCCTGCTGACAACATGTAACAGACAACATTGTTATATAGTGGATATAGCTATCGCTATATACCTCTGACATTATTACTGGCGATCTGCACATTAATAACAATTTTCCTTAAAAGACACTTTTCTGATTAAACTCAGAACAAGAATCACAAGCATCTAAACAGCACGTCAAAAATACTTCTTGTGCATACAAGTTGTGTTGCATAAATATAAATATGGCAGTAGAGAAGCAAACTAATCACGCAAAATACGCTTAAAGCTGTTGTGCGTTTTTACAGCTTTTTTTGTTAGTGCATTCAGCTTTAGACCAAATGCATTGTTTGATATAGACAAAGGACATTTTCTTTTTAATAGATTTTTTTTTACAGATATGGACTAAATGACAAGTAAATGAATTAAATAAAATGAGAACAGGTGTCCCTGTCAACCATGGACACAATAATAATAATAATACATTTTCACCAAAGTAATCTCAGAGTAACCGTTATCAGCGTGATACTGTGAAAAAACAATAAATACTGTATGTTGTGGAGGGCAGCGGCATTACGTCATGACGCCGCACTGGGTTTGTTTACGGTCTGAGCGTGGAGGGGCGCTAATAGCACAGATTTTTCACGTCGTAAACACATCGCTTCCCTACCGAGAAATACTTGCACAATGGTGCGGTACCACGACTACAGACCGTGACAACCGTGCATGTTGTACAGACTTGAAAAAGCACATTTATTTTCGACGCAGTCCGTGTTGCTCGAGCCGAAATCCGATATCAAAACATGGAGCTATCTTACTAGTGTACTAACCAACAATGGTGACGTTAGCACAGTTTGCTAGTAGCCTGGTAGGCTTCAGCATTTCAGAAGAGGAACTGAGAATCGCTGTCATCTTGTTTTGAAACTAGTGTTACTGTGTGTCATACGGTGGCTGACGGCTTCGAGTTTGTTGCGGATTTCAGGGGAACGTTTTTGTGTAATGTAAACAAGTCGTTGTCTCTATAGCCTGCCAGTTAGCAACTGTCTGGTACACTTAAGGTAGTGAATAAATTGATGCTGAATGGGGGTGGAGTTTTTACTGGGACTGGCGCACAAGCTAGAATAACATTAGGTATCTGTTGCCAGTTTGGGAATACAGTGTCAGACAAAATGGTTTTAAGGAGTTGTTGGAAATCTCGACATAAAATCAGCTATGGACCTGGTCCTTTTTGGATCCGACCAGCACTGATAGCCGTGCTCTGTTTATATGTGTCCAAGTTTGCTTGCGGGAATGGGGCGGTGGGGGAAACCAAGCATGTAGTCCAGAAAGATGCGGAGTTTGATGTCACCTATAATGATACAGTGACAAGTGAAAACCAGACAATCTATGCCTTCAACCACACTGTCTCCAGGAATAAGGTGAGTTTACATCGTCAGTAGATTTGTTTCTCACTTAATAACGGCCAGCAGTGCCGAGTTTAATAGGGTGTTTTCTCCTTTTGCTTCCTTTGGGTTTCAGACAGAGGGAGTGCGTGTGTCTGTGGATGTGTTGTCACAGGTTTTGGAGAGCCCTATCCTGTTTGTAGTACGACAGAAACAAAATGTGCTGTCTTTTCAAGTCCCTCTCATACTAAGAGGCCTGTGAGTATTCCCACTTTGCATACATAAACTGTAAACTGGATTCATCTGGAAGCATGATCTTTTCTTTCATATCAACTGAAGAGAAACTCTTGTAGATTGCGTTTTGGTCATTCTGTCTTTTAAACCCAGCCCCTAGTCATACAGCATTGTATGAAACAGTCCAGTCGTTATTGTGTTGTGTTATCTGAGGTCACCCACATACTGTATTGTTTGATTTCTCTCTGTCATTGTAACAGCTTATTAACTCTCAGTCAGTAATATTTTATAAATGGTAGGTCAGCACCGAAATTAGTACCAATATGCAATGTTTTGTGTAGTTGAGATTGTCCTCAAAGTCCATAGACCTTATCTACATTATGAAGATAAATAGGGCATATACAGTATGTGTTAGAGCATACATGTGTTACAATGTCATATACCATATGTAATGACATACACTGATTCCCAAATTGTGGCTTATGTACTATATGTCAGATAGAGCAATAGCACATTCAATAGCTGAATAGAGAATGAAAAGGAAAAAGGAACATATATTCCAGAGGTACAGATCAGCTGTCATGACATTTTATCACCACGTCTCAACTGACCAAATCAAGTGGACTGTAATGCAAGTCTGTGTAGCACTGAAAGGACGTATCTGTCTAGCTTAGTTTTATACTGGGCCTTTTTGTTTGTCCTTATAACTTATTTTACACAGAGACTGTACATAAAGGTGTGGTCTAAGTTCCTCCTCTGGAGTTTCAAAATGGCGTGGCTGTTTTTCTCTAGTTAAACAGTTGGGTCTTAAGATGATTTGCTTAAGTTTAGTTGGTGCAGAGAGCTGTGTGTCTACCTTATGGCCTAGTTACAGAACAAAATGTATAAATACTTGCTGTGCTTGTTGTAGAATACTTTGTAGATGTGATGAAGGAAGATGGTGTGGTTCAGTTGTAGACATCTGAGTTAGAATTGCAGTCATTTTTTTAACCTTTCAGTAGTATTAAGGCCAGTTGGTATACAGCAGAATCTACATTCTATGATATGCTTTGGATTTTACCTTGGCTGTCTGAACCATGTTGGATTTCATAACAGGTGAGAAGTTCAATTGTTTATTAGCCATTAGACAACAGGTTCTCTGTTATGTAACCTGTATCTTCCACTCTCTGAGGTTGTGCAACACCAGAATGACCCTGCCCTTGTCTTGCTTGTGTAATCTCATGGCCAAGCATTTTAGCAGATCACTAATGAACCTTGGACTTTCACTTCCTCCTTTGAGGATCTGCCAATGCAGATCAGAGCAGCCCATCTTACTGTAAAGGAGCTATCTCCAAGTCAGCTGACTGCAGTTAGCTCTTTCCCATGCTTTGTTTAAAGGAATCTACTTCCATGTTTTGAGCTACATTTTGTATGTTTAGCAACATTTCTGGAGAGTTGGGTTTTTATTGATTTAGCTCAGATGCATGATGTAATTGGCACATCTGATTCTGAAACAGCAGTCTGGAGAATCTAATACATTCTTTTAATATTAAATAAGCTAGTAGGAAAAAACCCATCATCTTTTACTTCGGCGTCTACCCATTCAATTCAATTCAGTTTTATTTGTATAGCACCAAATCAAAGTCAACTCAGAGAGATCTATAGGAGAGAAGCAGTCTAAATATAAATGAGGTCTTACAGATGTTTTTAAAGCTGTTTTACTTGATGATGCATCTGTGAGAGTTGTGGGAATGATCTGATAAATTTTTTTTTAATAGTTGTGATTTTATTTGTAAAGAAGCTCATGTAGTCATTACAGCTGAGATCTAAGGGAATGTTAAGCTCAACAGCACTGTGGCTCTTTGTCAGCCTGGCTACAGTGCTGAGAAGAAACCTGGGGATGTTCTTATTTTCCTCTATTAGTGATGAATAATGTGTGGTTCTGACACTACGAATGGCTATTTTATATGTTATTAAACTATCTTTAAAGGCTAGGAAAAACTTTTCTCACTTAGTGGAGCACCACCTCCTTTCCAGTTTTTGTGATGCCTGCTTTAGGGAGTGGAGCTGCGAGCTGTACCACTGCCTTCTTTTTCACTGGGGCAACAGTATCAAGTGTCATACGCAGGGAGGCTGCAGCACTATCAACAAGATTATTGACGTGTGTGGGAGTAAAATTAAGCAATAATGAGCAATACACACCTCCCCCATCTGACAAATTATTAAACCTCAGAATTTATCATGGAAACGTTCTGCACCCCTGTAAGGTACACAATGGTTACAGAAAACTATATTAGGCCTAATTACTAATATAATTTCATTTATACAAGTTGCAGTTGCAAAAACGCCTTTCTCTGTTCTATGAGCCTCTGTCTGTGTGTCTTCTTCTTTCCAGCTACCAGAGGAAGTACCCTTACAACCATGTGGGCCGCACATTGTGCCAGCCTCCAACCCGGGTCGCCTCCGAGACCCAGTATTTCTTTGTGGATGTGTCAACCCTGTCTAGCCAGGGTACAAACTACAAGCTCAGGGTCAGCCGTGTTGAAAGCTTCACCCTGCAGTGAGTTATAGCTGATATAATCACACAAACACACAGCATGATTGCTGCCTGAAATCTTAGCTTAATGCTGTCAGACTGTTTTTTATATAGTAACAAAGCAGGTGCTTGCTGGTATGTCTGACGTGGTGTTTTCACCTTGATTACAGGACAGACAAGAAATTCAACTTCACTGCATCACCATCTCAGCCTCAGGTATACAGTATACCATGATACAACAGCTTTGTGTTTGACACTAAGGGGGATATTTACTAAGGTTTTGCGGCTCGTTTTCTGGCGCTAAACAGTGGAATTGCCTGTGTTTATATTTGCTAAGCAGTCGCTGTGGGGTTTTTTCACAGTAAAAACAGAAGAAAAGCGGCATTGCAGGAATTTGGGCATTTGGCCTCATGCAGTATTTATTTCAAGGTATTCCTGTTCAGGGATGCAAAAATCAGAGGAGAGAATGGATATTTTTACAAATACTCTCAGCATCTGATTTACCACACATGACAGAGGGAATTGCAGCAGAAATTGAACAACTGAGGAAGCAGTTCTGTCGGAAAAGGGTGGCTTGTTCTCTTCAGGTTGGTGGAGAGTTCCTGCCTCAAGTGGAGGAGTTTAAGTATCTTGGGGTCTTGTTCACGAGTGAGGGAAGGATGGAACGGGAGATTGACAGGCGGATCGGTGCAGCTTCTGCAGTAATGCAGTCGATGTACCGGTCCGTCGTGGTGAAGAAGGAGCTGAGCTGCAAGGCGAAGCTCTCGATTTACTGGTCGATCTACGTTCCAACTCTCACCTATGGTCATGAGCTTTGGGTCATGACCGAAAGG